ACATTTTTTCCTGCCAATTTATAAACAAAAGAAAGGGTTTCATGTTCAGCAAAATGTCACCTTCAGTTATTTCTGGGACTTGGTGGATTAGGTTCTGGTTCATAGGGAGGACTTTGGCTTGAGGATGTGCTGTTTTCAAGGCTCAAGCCTAGCTGAGGAGCTAAAGGCAGGCAGGAGGCCGCCCACCATGCGGGTGAGGATGGGCATGGCAAGAACGTCTTCGGGAGGTTCACTAGGGGCACCAGGCCACGCGGAGCAGAGCACAGCACTGCAAAGCCACACCGAAGAGGCCAGATGGCTCAGGAACAGGAGTGTTCTCCAGGAAGGTGACAAAGTATTAGCATGTCCAAATAAGGAACCTGCCAGTCAGAGGGTGGCAGAGGAGAAAAGGAGACCCGAGGCCAATGCTGGCAGAGCCATCTCGGCCACGTCCAGGGAGGCTGTCAAGCCCGGTAGTGCCACCCTCAGGAGTCGCACACCTGGGTTCCAGGTCCCGGCTGCTGCTGCTGGTCTGGCTTTGCACGTTCTGTGCTCAGAGGGAGAGGACGTGGGGCTGCAGGAGGGGGGCGTCTACACCCAATGGGTGTTCGGGTTCTCCTTGCAAAGTGGCAAACCTCTTTGGTTTTGCACATAGTCACTATACATTCATCTCACACGAAGTCTGCTGCAAGAGTCAGCCCATGCTCTACATTTTTTCAAAGCCCTTGGGGCCTGCAAGGATCAGAACTGTTCCAGAAGGCTCATCACTAAAGGGGTGTTGCCCCTCGGGAGCCTGTGTGGGTGACCTGCCCACCTTCCCCCAGAAGCCACCAAGTACTGAGAACCTAAGAACTGGCCCTAGTGGGGAAAAGAGGGACTTTCCAGTGCTCTGGTCACCACGGCACCTGGGCCATTCGAGTCCTCTTTGTACATGGCCCAGCCCCAAGCAAGGAGCCCTTGCAGGCAGACCGGACCCACCACACTGTCCTAACAGGTTAGCTGCAGCCTCAAATAAAGGCAAAGTATTGAAAGCAATTTCCTTTGGGCCCAAAAGAAAGCCCACTTTAGCATGTTAGTTCCCAGGAAGCACAAAAGTAATCCATGCATGCAAGGGGACAGTAAATCCCCCTTCAAACCCGAGCAACCCACCTCTCAATAAAGCCCTGGGGTCTTGGGATCTCAGTCGGCCTTTAGCTGGGCTGCCTCGCATCCCTGCTCTAGTGGGCCGGACAAGCCACCGGCTCTTGGTCGGAATCCAGTCTTCCTTGCTGGCATTCCTGAAAGGATTCATTAATGGCATCCTCCACCTGCTCCCGCCAGCCTGTCGTCACAGGCCCGCGGAGCAGCTACGGAAATTAAGAGAAAGCGAACTTTAATTCGAGAAGGGTGTTCGAATGCATTTCTATAGCTCAGAAGCAAACCAATCCAGATAATCTGACTTGGAGCCGCCTGGAATGCTTAACTCCTTCCTGGTTTTTGGCAAGGAAGAGCTGGCGGGTTGGGTTTCGGAGCGGGAGATGAAGTCCCGGTCCCTCAGAGCGGCACCGTGTTGGGGCAATGGCCCCCTGGAGAAGAGTAAAGAAATCTCTAAAGCCCCGGATTTGGTTCCCTTTATTCTCATCCTGCTCTGCATTGCAAGGGGATTTCGGGGGTATATTTAATTTCTACGAGTCATCTCACCTGCTGGAGAAAAGGCATGCCTCCCCTCCTTGGTAGGAGGAGACAGAAGAGATAGAGTCTTCGCAAAGGAATGCAAAATCCCTTTACGCAGCTGGACAAATGGCAAACGGTGACTGACATCCAAGCAGGCCAATTAAAAGGACAAAAGGTCACGGTTAACAGTCAAGGCCATCCCTAATCGCTCCATAAAATGAGGTGAGGCCCAGCCATGGTGTGGGGTCCAGCCGAGTCCCCCCAACCCCGCAGGGCTGAGCACTCACTAGGTTCCTTGCTGGTCTGAAATCCCACAGACCCGGTTTTTCGAGTCCCATCTCCCTGACTCCTAGGCCTTGGCTATGACCCTGAACCTCATGGCACAGTTTTCCATGGGGAAATGAGTAGAATCCCTCCTAAATCGACCCTGTGAACCACGTGGACTGAAGAACGTCTCTCATTCGGTCACCTACTCGTGGAAACTGCCCAGTGTCCTGGGGGAAGGGCAGTGTACACGGTGCCCCAAGTACTCCGAGTTAACTGCGGCCAGTCACGTCCTAATACGTGAAAACGACACCCTGTGCGAATGGGCTCTGAAAGCAACTGAAACATAAAACCTCATCACCATCATGGTCACCTAAGACTTTCATCATGGGGACTTTCTTTGTAACAGGAGTCCCAGATGTTCCCGACCTGCTGTGCACCTGGTAGGAAGCAAAGAGTGCTTTGCAAAGCGTCGCACGTAGGGGTGAGGAAGAACGGCCAAACCAGACTGTTCTGACGCGCCCCTGGACACGGTTTGTGTGACAACACCAAAATCGATATTGTCCCAAACACTTGCCCCATCGACTCAAGCCACATGCGTGGATTCCTTGAGGGAGACTAATTACTGTTCCAGAAGCCGGTGAAATTATCCTCGGGGTGCACTTCTCTCTCCTGAGAATAGGTCCTTTCACAATTATGTTCTCTACTAGGAATCTATTACATGATGCAGTTTTTCCTCCAAAGACATCATTAATCATATGGTGAAAATGTAACTACAATTGAAAATACAGGATGCTTTGTCAAATGCCACATTCAACGCTTGGAGACCGTCAAGTTTAAAAATTGAGCAGAATCAGTTCCCGGCGTCTCCTTCTTAAACATGCCACACTGACTCACTCATCACCTTCCTCCCAAGGACCGTGAGGTTCTCTTTTCTCTGTCTTTAGAATGTGAATAATTATGTAGGAACACATAATGCAAACACATAATGGCACAATGGCCAGCTTCGCCGCGGCGTCTGTGTGGAGTTTGCATGGTGGCTCCACGTTCTGGGAGAAATCGCCCGAGAAAAAGGCTTTCCTGGAACGCACCGGAGTGGGCCGGAGTGGGCCGTTGTCTTTGTAACGGGGAGTCGCTGGGGCTGGCGGTCGGAGCAGCTGGGTCTGACTTTGGCTCTGACCTTGAGCGAATCTCGTCTGTGCCTGGGCTCCTCCATCACGCTACAGAGCGGCTGGACCAGGCGCTTGCTGTCTAAACCCCCTCACCTCTTACGCTGGGAAATACCTCCCGCCAAGCAACGCCCTGACGGCCAACCCCAGAGTGACCGTCACGGTTAGCTCAACACAAGCTGCAGCTTTAAAAGCTGAAAACAACTTGAGAAGGACAGCAGATCTCACGATTATGGTGAAAGCACTAAGAGAGGAGCAGCCCCTGTCCCCACGGTCACCCTTGGAGTTGCAGAGGTGATGCCAGGTAGAAAGTCACCCCCATGTGGAGAGGGAAATGGAGGCTGGCTCCATGTCCTCAGCTTCGCACAATCATGGCCGGGCCTGGGAGGGTCCCCAGCATCAGAGGGACAAAGAGTGGGGAGGGAACCCATGGGGACCAGCACCGGATGCAGAGGCACACACGTGGACCAGGAAGTGCTCCCCACCCCAGATCCCCACCCCTGGAGAGATGGGCCATCTCGCCTCTGAACTGCAGGTGCCAGGAACAAGGACAGGATGGGGCCCCCCCGGGGCAGGAAGGGCAGGCAGAGGGGCGAAGGCACAGGTGCTGGGAGCCGGGCTGCAAAACCACCCTTGCCCCCGGGTGAGAAACCAGCAAGTGGGCCACCAGTCCCATCCTGTCTGTCAACCTCCCCGTCTCTGCTCATCTCTGACTCATGGGCAGGTCCCTTGGGGCCCATTTCCGACTCCTCCCCCGCCCGGGCCCACGAGGTTACTGCAGGGCAAGTGTTTATCTCCCAGCCGCAGTTCCAGCCCCTCCCTCACTGAGAGGCCCTCGCCTGTTGGCTGCCTCTGACCATACATGGGACCAGTTTTAACACTTAGAGAATATAAGGTTGACCAGCCACATGCCTGGTGAGAGAATGACACCCTTCACTTGCAAACACTGGCTGGCACCTGTGTGTGCCCGGCTCTACCAGGACTCCGCCAGTCTGCAAAACTGTCTGCATTTCTGCACTGCGGCCCGTCCTCCTTTCACACAGTGCCCGCCCCGGCGTCTCCCACCTTCGTGACGGCGCTCCAACGCTGCACGTAGCAGACGGATAGCAACCGCTCTGTGTGGCTCACGGTTCGTCTGTATAGACAATGAGGCCAAGACGTGATGAGGCTCTCCTGGCTTCTTGCTGCATTTTTTTCTGTAAATGTTTCTTCCAGTTGAGAAGGAAAAGGCTGTACCCCTATACTGAAATTTCAACAGGCTCAAAGGAATGGGCCCAAACCCGAGCCTGCCACCGAATAGCTTTCTCAACGAAACAGCGGGCATGCTCTGAACTGCAAGTATTGCGTCTCGGCGCTACGCAGTCGGCCGCTGAGGGGGTGTAGGGGCTGCTCCTGGCCGTGCAAGCCCAGACACACGATCGGCTGGCAGCCACCTGGGCACACAAGGTCCCAGAGACCAGTCGGTCAGAGTTCTAAGATCGCGATCATAGCCAAGTCCGCACTGCCTATTCCGACAGCCTCAAAGGTCGCGGGCCACTTGTTAACACCGCACACCTGGGAGGGAGCACCTGCCTGTCGTTTTGCTCTGCACGGTTGAGACATTGTTCCGTGCTGAGAGACAGACACACGCCACGTCCACAAAAGCGGACCTCCCAACACAGGCCACACACGGGCGCGCAATGACACCGGTGACACTCCGAAAGAATGTCACAGCATTTTAGAGCCACCATGGACTTTGAGATCACCTAGTGCAACCTCTTCGTTGTATAGGTGAGAAGAACCCAGGCGTAAGTCAACCCGGTCAATCAGCCCCTGCAGCGACAGCCCCGGGCAGAGTCCAGCCTCCCAAGCCCCAGACTCCAGCTTTGCCCGGACCACCTGTGCGTCCTTCCCGGCCTCCCCCCAGCTGGATGGGCACGTCTGCCCCCGCCCTACCTTTCTTCCTCCACCAGGGTCCCTCGGGAACCGAGTAGGAAAGGTCCTTGAATTCGATGTTCACGGCCGCCCTCCGGGGCAAGGAGGAGAAGCGCTGGGCCTCCGTGAGGCTGTTGTCCACCTTCTTCAGGTGTCCGTTCAGCAGGTCCGTCTCGGTGGCGCCCACGCTGCTGGAGACCACCTCGTCCACGGACACGCACACGGACTTGGGCTCCGTCATCACTGCAGAGTAGCTGCTGGCATTCTAGGGGAACGGAGGGCAGCAACAAAGACGTCATCAGCGTACGTCGGGAAAAAGAGGCGGGGTTTGCTGTCAGGCTCAGGGCCACCGATTATTAGTAGCCACGCGTCTTAACCTGCAGGAGTGCCTTCCGTTCAGCAGAAAGGTGACAGATTTCCCTAGAGGAATCTGTCCTCTCTAACCATCGTTTTTTCTTCCATTGAAAATTGGTGAAGGTAAAATGTTCTGCTGATCTACACGTCTTACTTTGGAATCACAAAATCTAACCACAGGACCACAATACATGAATCACTCGCCTCAAAGAAGAAACACCCGGTCACCAAACAAAAGTATGTATTTACCATCCACTCGTAAAAAACCCAATAAAGACAGAGGAGGCGCCTGAGAAATATACAACTGAAAAAGTCTTACTTACAATGAGCTATTTTAGCGCCTTCCTTGTGCAAGCTCATACACATTTCTCAAGAGCAATAACATCACTTGAGCTGCTCAGGGTATTGTGGGGGTTGGCCTTTGTGTTTCACTTTTAAAATTTCCAGATCTCTTATAGCTCTACTGTCTCACTATGGCCTCATAATAGCACTGAGAAGTTGATATTTTTTCTCTGTTATACAGACAAGAAAGCAGAGGCACTGGCAATTTTAAGGAACCCGCTCTGAGTCCCATAATCAAATGAGTAGCAGAAGTAGATCCCAGAATTTGAGTCATCAAAAAATCCCAGGTAGGTGTGCATTTCACTGCATCACCAGGGTACCTAATATTTTGTAGCTAGCACTGGCTTTTAAAGCTTCCACTGGGAGTAAGCGAACTGCAACAGATGTGCCAAGAACCGAAAGTATTTATGCAAAGAAAGGAAGATCCTTTTCTAATGGCTTGGCAACCCCGAGCAAATCAATAAGCTTCAGGTCCCTCCAAACACAGAACCCGGGCGTGGGGGACAAATACACTGTACTTTTTCTTGCCGTCTCCCGAGTCAAGAGAGAACGTCCCTCGGTGCCAAAAGCCTGGGCCTTCCACGACACTCTGCCACCCTGCACTGGGGCCGGCCTTGCGGGCAGAGCCCATCCCGGGAATGGGGCGTTCCCACTGCCGTAGGGGAGGACCGTGGAGACGCTGCCTGCCCTGTGTATTGTTCTCTTCCACGGGTCTGATGGCTAGTCACCATTATTATCTCTTATCAAAGACCCAGAACAAAACCCGAGACTGTATCGTCCACAAACATCCCCGGAAACCCCAGGAACCAGCACCTAAAGTGGCGAAGACCAACCCCAGAATGCCGGCGTGCGGGACGGGCCCGTGGCCTGGGAGTGGCGCCACGTCCCGCAGAGTGTCCGGGAGTCCAGGCTGTCCCGAGCTGGGGTCGCGGACATCCACACGCGGTGCGGTGCGGAGCTCGGATGGCCCGACCTGGAGCTGGCCGTTTAGGAAAGGATACACAAACACACACCACACCACACACCACACACACACACACACACACACACACTACACACCACACACACACACACACACACACCACACATACACACCACACACACACACACACACCACACATACACACCACATACACACCACACATACACACACACCACACACACACCATACATACACACACACCACACACACACCATACATACACACACACCACACACATACACACACACCACACACACCCCACATACACACACCACACACCACATACACACCACACATACACACATACCACATACACACCACACACATACACACACACCACACACACACACCCCACATACACACACCACACACACACACACATACATACACACACCATACATACACACACACCACACACCACATACACACCATACATACACACACACACCACACACACACCCCACATACACACACCACACACACACCACACACACATACACACACACCACACACCCACACCCCACATACACACACCACACACACCCAGCATACACACACACCACACACCACACACACATACACACTACACACACACCACACACACACCACACACACCCACATACACGCACACATACCACACACCACACACAAATACACCACACACACATACACTCCACACACAGATACACCACACACCACACACAGATACACCACACACACACCACACACACACTACACTGAACACACACCTCACACAGATACACCACACACCACACACAGATACACCATACATACACCACACACACCACACACAGATACACCACACACACGCCACACACACACTACACTGAACACACACACCTCACACAGATACACCACACACCATACATACACCCCACGCAGATATACCAATATACCATACATACTACACACACACACCACACAAACACCACACATACCCTACACACACAAAATATGCACCACACACATGACACACACACCACACACCCCCTCCCAGGCATCCCCTACCTCTGAAAACCTTTAACCAAATCAAACCTTAGCCCGAGGGCTGTGATAGTGTGTGGGTAAACACAAGGGCACACAGTGAAACCCCAACAAAATTAACTTGGTTTGCTGCTGGCTCCACGCGTGTGAAAAGTCTCCCGTGCCAGCCTGGGCGGGCCAGCTCCTTCCCGAGCACGGGCAGGGAAGGTCTGGGTTTGTCTGATGAGGGGACTCGGAGCCCCGAGTGAGGATGAGACCCACGGACCCTGGGGGGGTGGTCTTTCTCCCCAGTTGCTCGAGGCTGACCGGGTGGGCGGAGTGCCCCGTTACCCCTCAGGAGGCCCTGCATGGGGCCAGAGCACGCCCTGGGGGCCCTCCCCAGGCCCTTAGCCTGCCCCTTGGGGTCCCCTTAGCCTGCCCCCTGGGGTCCCACGCTGCTGCCCCAGGTTTGTAACCCTGGGAAGCAGCAAATCTTGGCTGGCAGTGGGGAGCCGTGAAAGGAGCAGTGAAGCAAGACAACGAGCCCTAGGCCGGGTCCCCAAAGTCCATTCTCGTCCTGCCTTGCCACACAAGTGGAAAGGCATAATGTTTGGGTCCAAACTCACATCCCGCTGGCAGACTTGGACTCTGACCCGGGACCCCCAGTGGTTGTGTGTTCAGTTGGGAGCAAGGGATGGGGGTGATCCAGCAACTCCTGCCCTGTGTGGGCCCCTCCACCCCCACCCCCGCCCCAAAGATGCCAGCTGCCACGGGCAACCCGTGCCCTCTCCCCAGGCACCCTCCACAGCTGTCAGCTCCAGGGTGAATGGCCACCACCCATCTGCCTGTGGCAGATGTCACACCTATGACATGCGAGGGTCTGACTTTGCCTCCTGGACTCTCATCCTAGCTATTTGCTCACTCGCCCACTCGCTCATGCATTCGCTGGGCAAACCAAGCACCGGCCACAGCCCGGGGGTCAGTAGTCAGCCAGCCAGACGTGCCGCCAGCCAGGCAAGCTCGTGTTCAAGCTCTGGCACCCTACCAGGGTGACGGACACACTTACAACTTTGACTCAAACTTCGCAAAAGTAATGGACGTGACCAAAATGTTTGCAGCCCCGTAATATTGTAAAATAAAATAAAATATATATATATATATAGCCAGGCAAGAAAACAGGAAATTAACTACACCAGGACGAGGGCAGAGACAGGAGGGAACATCCGCGGCAGTGCAGACCCTGGGCGGGCGGCACTCAGGACATGGTCTTTCTGCAGGAAGGAATCTCCGCTGAGCTCAGCGAGGTGAGACGGAGGGGTGCTGCGGTGCTGGCTGCAGGGGAGCAGCCCGTGCAGAGGCTCCGCAGCAAGAGATGGGGCCCAAGAGACTTGTGGGAAACTCAGGGCTGGGGCATGGAATGGGGGGGGAGGGGCTGTGGAGTGAGGCTGTAGGGGCAAACAGGGTCCCCATGGTGAGGTGTTTGCAAACTGCTGAGGGCTTTGCACCTTATCTAGCGGTCCCTGGGGCAGGCAGAGGTGTCAGAACAGCAGGGCTGCAGAAACCACCTCCTGCAGCCCTGGGAGCCCGATGGGGGGATAGGGGCCTGGGGCAGCTGGTGGGGACTGGGATGAAGGCGAGTGGACAGGCCAGGGGGACAACGCTGGGTGACTACACTGATCAGGGACGGAGAGAGAGAAACCAGAGTCACGTGCTCACAATTTAAAATATTAAATCACAATGCCTCATGCATGCTAGGTGAGCGATTATAAGCAAGAGTGACTATTGATTGATTCAGCAAGTGCAACGTGCCTGCCACGCTCCGGCCTGTACAGATGACGCGATGCCTCTTGGTATCCCCACAACTCTGGGGCGGGCAGGCATTGCTACCTGCCTTTGGAGGAGGGATGCGATGCCTGACTTGTGGCAGTCCCCACGGTTAGGGAGTGGCCAGGCTGGGGTCCAGCTCTGGGGGTTGCCAAGTCTCCCACCAGCCCCCTTAACAGCCCTTGAACATGGCTTAGCTTTCTACAGGCAAGTTGTGGGCCCCCCAGGGTCATCCCAGACCTTGTCTGTTCTGGGAGAATCCACAGCAATCTAAGGAAACCATGCAGCCCCACCCCCGATAAGCCAACACCACGGCCACGCACAGTCACCCACCTTCCCTCCACAGGGTCCCACGGCCTCACCCAATTAAGCAAATCACGGAAACCATCTGAGGCGAGGCAATGGCCTGTCACTGCGAAATAGACCAGCTCTCTGGAAACACACCCTCCGATGAGAGCTGCCGGCAATGTAGGTTACAGCTGGCTTCTCCTTCGCCTTCTGAGCTCATTAAAAATAAAACAAACACGTCTTCCCTCCCCACTTTCCCCTCTCACTGTTCTGTTCTCTACCCTGCTGAAGCATTGTCTTTGACCCCTGCCATGTGCAGTTCGCGCATAGCAGATTGTAAACACTGGTGAGCCCACTCATGGCGGTGACCCTGGGGAGACCCTCCTTGGACTGCTCCTGGCTGTCCTTCCTGAGAACATTTTTTTCTGGGCGCTGAGCAGAGTGGCCGTGATTTCGGTTTGAACGCTGGGCATGCATAGATGCCTATTTAGCTGGTGAGGGGGGTCTCCAGCAGTCAGCAGGCCCCCCAGGCCACAGAGACTCAATCACTCCATTTCCACCAGGGACTCGGAGTTGAGGCAGAAACTTTTCTCTCGGCACCCGGGGAAGGGAGGAAAGGGGACCCGCAGCAGCGGGCGCCAGACCTTTGGTACGCAGTTCCTCTTCTCTCTTTGCCATGTGCTGCCAGCCTTGCCCCCCCCCAGGTACCAAGTGGCCTCCCTGGTACCCTGTGCACATAAGAGGAAAGTGCACCGGCCGAGACTCCTCCAGGCAGCTGCCCAGGAGGAAATAACCCAAACGTGGCACTCTCCATTAAGCTAGAGGACAGACTGCACTGGAGGGTCACTTGGAGTGCCAAGACAGCTCCAATACCACCCTCCCACCAGAAACGCTCCTGTCCCCCCTGAGCCCCTTGAGCCCGGGCACTCCAGCGAGCTCCCTGGGTGCTTGGCCGAAGCTCCAACCCGCCCAATCCCACTCGCAGCTCAGACGGTCCACACCGGGCTGGGCCAGGAGCAAGGAGGGGATGGGAAGCAACACCCAGGATCCTGGGTCTCTCTCAAGGGCTCTTTGATTATGACTTGTACAGAATTTATTTATTTTTTATACTATTGGTTTTCCTTTTAAGCCTACAGCCCCCCAGAACTGCGAGCTGGCCTTTCCTTCAAGCCCTAACCGGGGCCAACCCTGCTTAGCTTCTGAGATCAGACAAGACCCGTACTTCCAGGGTGGGATAGCCATAGATGGATTGAAATTTTTAAATTAAAAAGTGACCATGTTTCCAGGAAGAAATTATTTTTAAACAAAACAGTGTTCCCCCAAAAGTAAATGAGCCCAGCCATTAGCGTCTCCACGTGAGAGCTACACACCTGAGCCCGGGGGGCTGTATCAAACCGTAACATACCATTAAAATAAAAAAATCTTGGTATGAAAAAACTGTACCTTAAAACATTCTTATTCATCAGTTTTCCACATGTAGAGGCCACCTTTGCTGCTCTAAAAGGACTCCAGGAATTACCCAGCATCTAAAAGATCTGGAGACTTTCTGTACCTGCAACTAACACTGACAGCCCCCTTACTTTCCGACTGTCACCCTAATCCGGGAGTCCCGAGTAGATGAACAAGTGCAGGAGGGAGAACTCCCGGCGACACCCAGACACTGGCCGGGTGAAAGCAGGGGCGAGAGGGGGACTGGGCTTTCCGTTCTGTTTGTGGCCTTTTCCTGTGTCAGAAGCGAGCAGGAAAGGCGGAGCCGCCCAGGGGCGGGGGCGGCCTGGGGTCCCCGCGCCGGCGCCCCCCTCTGCCACCAGCCTGGCCGCCTCCCGGCCCCATTCCATCGCTTTACACAAAGTCATTACATAACGAGCTGGCGAAGCTCAGCGTGCTCTACAGTAACCTGTTTGGAATCACAGGATGCAGTTGTCGGAGCAGAGCATGCGCAGAAGCCCGGCTACTTTTTTTTTTTTCTCGAGCTCACGGCGAGAGGTAACTGTCGGTCAAACCCCGCGGAGCCCTGCCGACTTCAAACACAGGATGCTAAAAATGAAATAGAGGGGAGGGGCGGGGAGAAGCCCCGGCGCGTGCCCTGCACCGCGGGCTCCCAGCCTCCTCCGGGAAGTCACTCGCAGGGTAGTGACTGCACCGAGAGGTGACAGCGGGGCCCGGACGGGTGGCGCACGGAAGACTTTGCGCCTGTACTACCCTGGCTGCGACGGTGGTGTGCCGGGCAGGAACCGAGGGCCCTGGGATGGGGGCGGGCGGGCTGGCGGTCAGTTTGTTTTTTCCTAACGTGAGACAAGCAGCAAGGGGAGCTTCTTAGCCACCCCTGGGAGGGAACTGTGTCTGGCGATGCATCTGCCAGCACTAGGTCACGGTCACCCCCTCGGAGCTGATACCCTCGGGAGCAGTGAGATGCGCTGCTCCGTCCACACCCGGGCTCTCTTCCGCGCGCAGGAGGGGCGGCGGGTATCTGGGCTCGCCCTGCGGCCTCGGGGCGCTCCGCCGCCCCTCCCCGGGCAGGTCCCCGACAGGCTGTCCGCGGTGCAGGCGCAGGCTCGGGCTCTCTGGGGCAGCTCCCTCTTTTGTTCCCGCAGACAGTGCCCGGAGCTCCGGGGATGGTGCGCCAAGTCCCCGCTCCCCGAACCCCAGCCGCGCGCTGGCAGAAGGACCCACCCTCTCTTCCCTCAGGCCCAGGCTGCGGCCCCTCCTCATGCGCTCGGGGTCCCCGCGCCCCTCGCCAGGAGGCGGACGAGGTCAAGGCCATCTGTCCACTTGTGGGGCTGCTCGCTGTCTTCCGCCCCACTCCCCACTCCTGGCCCCTGAGCCTTCCTGCGTCCTCGGCGGGGGCCAGGAGCACCCCCGGGCTCTGGGTGGCCCAGGGCGGAGCGCGACCGGAGCCAGGCACCTCTCGGGGGTGCCCCGGGTCAGCGCCCGGAGGACGCGCTCCCAGGGAGCGGGTGTCGGGGATATCGCGAGGGTCTTTGTGCGTTTCCTGCTCTCTTGGAAAATCGAACCACGCCCGGCGGGCGAGGGATGCGCTCACTCACCATGGCGGTGCCGACCGAGAAAGCGGCCATCAGACAGGCCATGCCCCGGGGGCGGCGGCGGCGGCGGGGACGGGGCTGCGGGCTGCGGGCCGGGCTGCGCTCGCTCTCTGGGGCTCGGCTCGGCTCGGCTCGGGCTCCGGCTCCGGCTCCAGCTCCGCTCCGCTCCGGGCCCGCCCCGCGCGCGCGATTGGCCGGCGGCGAGGGGGCGGGGCGGCCGGCAGGTGCGCGTGCTCTTGTTTTGCTCGTGCGGAGAGTGGCTCCCGACGTGCGAGTACGGGGGCCACCAGGTCCCAGGCAGACCATCGCTCGCCCCCAGCCTCCGGGGCCTGGCAGGCGCCCAGGCCCGCCCAGCCTGGAGACCCTGGGTCCGAGCCCGCAGGGGCTGGGCCAGCAGGCCCGGGGCTAGCCGGCTGGGGCGCCCCACAGACCCGGGGTTCCTGGCTCAGAAACCCGCTGTCTCCAAGCCTGTAAGCAGCGGGAGGAGGGGCGTCCAGGGAGGGCAGGTGAGGGGTCGGAGACTTCTGCCTCCTTTTTTCTTCCTTGGTGGGCCCCTCTCTGCCAGGTAGGAGCTTGACGACTAAGGAAGAGATGACCGCCCCAACACCCTCCACCCCCAGCATGGACGCAGGGCGACCCCTCACACTGAGGCAGCACCTGTGCTCGCATGTGAGTGTGGATGACAAAGGGCTGCTGGGTGAGGGTGCTCCGGCCTCTGTCCTTCCCCTGCCCCCAAACAAAAAAGGAAAAGGCTCATTTTTGCAGAGGAGGTGTGCCCAGCGCCTGGTCCCGACTCCACCGTGGCTGTGTTCAGTAACTGCACCAGGAGTGGCTAAGGGCGCCCTCTCACCTGGCCCCAGACTGGAGTATCAGATGGCCTGGCAGCTGCTAAAGCCCTTATTATATATAAGCGGGACCATTTCCTGGTAGCCATGGTGACAAGGAATTCTTTAGTCCCAGGGTCCTACCCTAATGCTTTTGTTCAGTTGTTTGCATGTTGGGACCAAAACCAGGGATGTATTTCTCTTCACCTCCAGCACTCCTGGGTCAGCCCTTCCTGCCTCACCTCAGGTGCGTGAAGCCTGAGTCTTTCTCCCAAAGCCTGGGCAGGTGGACTTCACACCCCAGGTCAGATGGCCTTAGCCAAATTCCTGCCTCAAGTCAAAGGAAGGAGAGGGGGTGTTGGATGAGCTTGAGGGAAGAGGCCCCGGCTCTGTCTGAGCAGTCTTGCTTTCAGGAGCCAACACATTGCCTCTGTTTTGCGCAGTCAGGTGCAGGAAATCCCACTGCTCTGTTGCCCGGAGCCACTATCCAGGCCCAGGCCCAGGGGACAGGGCGGTGCCTTGACCATCCTGAACCAGGGGTCCAACAGAGCCTGAATGTTCTGGGAAGGGGATTCAAATCCACAAACCTCCTGGGGAGAGTTTAGGCCAACAAACAAAGAAAGAGGTGCCCAGCCCTAGGGCCCTGCTGCAGGCCAGGCAGGACCTACAGCAGGAGTGGAGGCACAGGGCACAGCCGAGGGGACTCTCCGTGTGGCCAGGGCAAGTGACGTGCCATCTGAGTGCCTACAGCACGACATCTGTGTTCTGTCTGGTATCCACCCTCCTTGCCTCCAGGTATATGCCCAGGACTTCCTTCTGCACACTTCTCCCACCCCCAACCCCGTGCTCAGCCCTGTGCCGTGTGGACTTGGCCATGGGAAGGCCCACTGGCCCCGGGGCTTGGGCGGAAACCTGAGGGTTTGAGGTGTGAGGGGTGCATGGGGGCTGCAGGGAGCAGCCAGGGCACAGTGTGTGGAGCCTGCAGAGGAAGCCGGAGAGGGAAGACACCCCGCTGGGTCCTTGTGGGTGTGGCCCTAGCTGCTGGATTCTCTGTTACAGGACACAGAAGGAGCCCTCACTTGCCCATCTGCACGCCGGGATAATACCCCCCAACATGCGGGAAACAGTGCTCAGTGCAGGGCAGGCATCCAGGTGGGGTCCTTGCCGAGTTACCCCCAAGTGCCGGGTCAGGGAGGAGGCCGATGGTAGAGTGGCATGGATCTGTGCCAGTCGTGTCAGGACGCTTGGTGACAAGTGACAGACACCCAACCCAAACTGTTGTAGGCTAAGGGGGATCCACTGTGTTGGGTAACAGAGAGGTTCAGGGTGCCCAGGACGCATACTGTGTCCTCCACTCCTGGTCTTGTGCTCTTTGCACGGCTCTGCCTTCTTCCCTGTGAGGTCTCCCTGGGGGGTGCTGGCTCCACGTGGCCCTCCCAGCATCTCTGGGCCTGCACCCCATCAGCTGACCTGTCCCGCCAGGCTCCCGTGGGAAGAAGCGGGAAAGGTAGCCCCAGAGGAACGGCACAGAAAGACTGGGCCCAGGTGCTTGGCCAAGGTTGCTGGAGGTGTTCTGAGCAGAAGCGTGAGGGCCGGGCAGGCAAACACAGAGGAGTCACCACAGGACCGCTCCGGCCGCACCCAGCCGCGGCAGGACATCCTGCTAAGACGTCACCGACAGGTGGGCCAGCTGGGCTTGCGACTTCCAGCAGGGAGCCACTTCCTTCCTCAACGGGGCAATTATTAAGTGTTGTCACCATTAGCAGGCGACCCTGTGTCTGATTGGACTCCCTGTCACCCTGAATGCTCTGTGCTCTGCGGGGACACAGGCCCTGGCTAGTCCACGATGGCACCAGTATTGTGTCCAGGCCTTTGCTTCTCTGAACCAGACATGCCCTGTCCCCCTACGGCTGTGTGGGAGACGCCCCTTTGTCCTGCGTGCCCCCTGTCTGCATGGGCGCCAGCTTCTCATTGACCCTCGTGAGATTCAGGGCTCACCGGAGAACCCCTAGTCAGTGTACCTCTGGTCAGGAGAGGACCAGCCAGGAGGACCTGCACCTTCCCTCTGGATGACCCGCTCTGGCACGGCCCGAGTGGGCCTTGACCACAGGCCACGGCCCGTGCGGTGCCCGTCAGTGGAGCTCCGTTCGTCCTAAGGCCGGGTCTGTGCGGGAGAGCTGCTGCTCCAGCGGCCTCCCCGGTCCATCCCAAGTCGGGAGTGTCCAACTGAGCTCTGCTGGACTTCCAGCTGCTGGGGCTGCAACGAGGGGAGAAGGGGGCCCCCTGAGGACTTGGTCTTTGTGTGGGTCCTGCACGTGCTGCCTGCTGAGGTGGGCACAACCGTAGCACAATGTCACAGCCAAGATGTCGGCACTGACAAGTGCAGGTCTAGAACATTCCATCCCCACAAGGAAGCCTGGTCTTGCCCTTTTAACAGCCACACCTCTTCCCTTCTATCTCCACCCCCCATAACCCCTGACAGTCACCAACCCGCTCCCCACTTGTGGAATTACTTTACTGCTGGGTAGATTCCGCAGTGTGGACGGACCTCACTCTATTCACTATTGAAGGACGTCTGGGCCATTCCTAGTTTGGGGCTATTACAGACGAACCTGCTTTAAACATTTGTGTGCCAGCTTTTGTGTGGATGCAAGTGCCCATTTCTCTGGAATAAATGCCCAGGAGTGCAACTGCTGGCTTGAACGGTTTCGCATCTTCAGGTTTTTGAGAAATTGTTACGCTGTTGTCCAGAGCGGCTGTACCTCGTACATTCCCACCAGCAGTGTGAGAGACCGGCTGTTCTGTGTCCTCACGTGCGGTGCCGTGACCTTTGCTATTGTCACTGTTTTTCATTTCAGCATTCTGATAGGTGTTACCTATTCTGATAGCAGTGTTACCCCAGGTAGTCTTAATTTGCATTTCTCTGCTGGCTGATTTCATGTGCTTATCTGTATCCTCAGTGAAGGGTCTGCTCATGTCTTTTGTCCATTTTCCAACTGGATTGTTTGAACTCTTACCACTGTTGAGTTTTGAGAGTTCTTCATACATTCTAGACCCTAACCCTTTGTTGAATATGAGGTTTGCAAGTATTTCCTCCCAGCCGCCTACAACTTGTCTCTTCATCTGAACAGGGTCTTTCTCAGAGTCGGTATTTTTCATTTTGACAGTCCAATTTATCAATTTTTCATGCTTTTTGTATCAGGTTTAACTCCTTGGCCCTAGATCCTAAAGATGTTCTCCTCATTTTTTTTTTTTCCACTCAAAGATTTGTTTTACTTTTAAGTCTGTGACCCATTTTGAGTCAGTCTTTGTGTAAGACATGAGACTTAAGTCGAGGTTCTTCTCTGTTTTCTGCCTGTGGGTTTCCAACAGCATTTGTTGGACAAGCGGTCCTTCCTCTGCTCACTTGTTTTTGTACCTTGGTGTCAGGAGGATTCTGAATCTTTCTTTCCATTTTGTTAGTCTTTGTGACTATCTGATGGGAGGAAGATCACTGGGACTTAGGGGTGCTATGCATGAGGCTGTGGGGGGAGAGGAGGTGAAGGAATTGCCAGGGCAGAAGCCTGAAACAAGGGCAGGTGTTAACTGCCTAGTTAGGGGACAGGCATCAGCGATCTGGGAGTACAGCAAGGCACAGCGCAGGTCTGTGCCAGTTTATATCCCCTAACAACTTCTGAAAATCACTTGAAATCTGTAATTTATCTGTTCTTATTTGAACCTTTCAGGGTGTTACTTCGTTACCATCTATAATCAGACCCAAATATGAGAAAGGATGATTCTTCTGTACTTTATCTTCAGCTATAATTAGGCCGAAGGATTGTAAGACAATTGGAGCTTTGGCATGTAAGGAAGTTAAGTTGTTGCTCAGAAGAGCAAGAGAAAAGTACGACATCCGTGTAATGAATGATATAAACTCGGGGATTGATTAACAAAATGCTGACGCAGGGTTGGGCAACTTAACATACCCTGAGGTCAGACTTCCCATTGATATCTCTGAGCAGGCCTAGAATTATTCAAGGCCAGAAGAGTAAAAGCAAATTTCTCTTGATCAGCTGGTTGTAAACGTATGGTGAAAAACAGTCTTTTAAATCCATGATAATACTATGCCAGTTTTTAGGAATCATAGCCCGTGAGGACAGCCCCGGTTGCAGAGCTCCCATGGGCTGAGTGATAGAATTTATTTTTCTTAAGTCCGTTAACATTCTCCGTTTTCCTGATTTCTTTTTAATGACAAAGACTGGCAAATTCCAAGGACTATGAGATTCCTCAATATGCCCTGCCTGAAGCTGTCCTGTATCTAATTGTCGAAGAGC